GAAAAAAAAAAGTCAAAAGGGGGGTAATAACTTGTGAGATTATTAACTCATTGTCATTGTGTTAGGGACAAAAGCATAAAGTTTGAAACCTGACTTGAGGAATTGTTAATCAAGAATCATTCATATGAGTTGAATTTCTCAAATATTTTTGTATATCTCAGAAAAACCAATAATTCTTTCTTAGCCTAGCCCCATTACAAGCCTCAAAAGACCTTTTGATTTAAGTCTTGTTTAACAATTGTTGATTGCTTGAAGATGATTATCAATATTGGATTGTCTAAATGAAGTGATTGAATGAGATAAACACTTACCTGTGAGAATTAGAGATGAGTATATATAACTCTATTTGAGAGATCATGCTTCTCTGAGGATAGTTGAGGACTAATTATTCTTTGTTGGTTTCTATAACTTGAATGCTTATGTGTTCTATTTTCATTTGGAGTTGTGAGCATCACCCCTGAAAATTTTTATGTTGTGGTTCTAGAAGAGAAAAAGATAATAGGTGATGATTTTGTTTTGGAAAAATTACTTTGCATAGGACAAGCAAGATTCTAGGTTGGGGGGAGTTGTTAAGTGGTAAAAAGTTGATATAATTATGCCTTGAATTGTTATGAAACCACTTAACTTATGTTAATTCTAATATATTTTTCTCCCAATATAGGATGAATTTGAGAATACCTTAATACAAGAGTAAGGAGCATAATTGTCAGCATAATTGGAGTAAAATTGAAAGAAAGAAGAGCGTTTAAGCGAATAAATGATGCGAGGCCCGACCCAAATTCTCTTATAAAAAGATAAGTTGTGTTTTGAGAAAGCAAGCAGTCTTGGAGGAGAGGAGGCACGACTACTGTTAGGGTTTTGCCTTATCTTCATCAATTCTTCACTTCATCAATTGGAGCATTGTAATGGGCAACATGAGTGACTAACTTCATTCTCTTAGGATTCGGTGCACTTCCTTTGAACTTTTTTGTATCATGGTGATATTTTGAGATATTAATCTATGCTTTGATGTTGTTATTCTTATCTTCTATGCTTTGGAATGATTTATTCTTGATTGTTTGAGGTATGATTGGAAAATATATCTTGAACCCTAGATCACGGTAAGAATATTTGTTACGTTAATTGCCAGGAATGGAATGAATGTATCAATTGCTTAAACACCCTAACCCTAATGCTGGAAAATCTGTTAATTGTGTGAGGAATCAAAATTTATTAGGTTTTCTTATGAATTTCATGTGTGAGGAATCAACATGGATGATTTGAGTAGGTGGCATCAACATTGTTAGGTTAATTGACGTTCTTAATTGATTTAGCCATTACAAAAGAGGGATAAGGAAGGAAGTCAATCCTAAGTACCTTTAATTGATATTTTCTCAACAATTTACAATTATTTGTCATTTAAATTCAATTCAACTCTTATTTGCAAAACTCAATCTGTTTAATATACTTAGTAAACATAATTGGGAATTTTCATTGAAACTGTTCCTCGTGGGATCGACTTTTATTTTATCGAAATACTGTACTGCGATTGATAATTTGGTACGCTTGCCAATAATTCAAAAACTCTTAGTGTGATTAGCCAGTTCATGCACAATCCAGGTGAAAAACACATGGATGCTATTATACGGATTTTAAGGTTCATAAAAGTTGCTCCTGGAAAAGGAGTTATGTTCAAGAAGAAATCCAACTATAAGGATGTGATGGTTTATACTGATGCAGATTAGGCAGATGCTCTTGATGATAGAAGATCAACATCTAGATACTTTACTTTTGTAGGAGGTAATCTTGTCACATGGAAAAGTAAGAAACAAAAAGTTGTAGCTAGATCTAGTGCAGAAGCTGAACTTAGAGGAATATTTCTTGAACTTTGTGAAGGTTTGTGGCTCAGACTACTTCTCCAAGATTTAGGGTATGCACATACACGTCCCATTCAGTTGTATTATGATAATAAAGTTGCGCGCAACATTGCTCACAACCTTGTCCAACATGATCGGATGAAGCATGTGGAGGTTGATAAATTTTTCATCAAGGAAAAGCTTGATAAAAATATTCTAGAATTGCCAAATATTCGATCTGAAGATCAGCTGGCAGACATTCTTACCAAAGCTGTGACAAGTCAGATTTTTAGGAGATTATTGGACAAGTTTGGAATGTATGACATCCATTTACCAACTTGAGGGGGAGTGTTGGGATAAAGATATTTGATTAGCTAAATTATAGGTTTTTATAATAGTACAAAATATTGTATAATCAGAACTTCCTTTATTTAGTCCTGATTTATTGAAATAAAATATTATAAGATCATAGTATCCGTGTAAAAAAATAATATGAATAAAAATTATAGAAGGAATTCTATTTTTTTTCAATTTATATATATATATATATATATATATATATATATATATATAAGTATGTTATAATAAATTATTATGTACATTTAAAAGATATTAAAAATTAAAATCTAATATATTTAATAGAAAATTTTAAATTGTAATATAAAATATCGATTTAATGTTGGTCAAACATTACTTACTGAATCAAATTGACTTATAACATATAAATCAAATTCAAGAAAATAATAAGTGAAAATATAATTAAACTTACGATATATATATATATATATATATATATATATATATATATATATATATATATATATATCATGGTTTAGGTCTTTGAATAAGAATAACTCAATAACAATTAGAAAAAAAAATGGAAGATGAAGCAGTTGATCAATAACAATAAGGCCTATTGTTTTTGTTACGAGAGTGTATTCCTTTTTACTGTGAAACACTAATATCAATAGAAAGGACAATCTTAACAAGTTCTTGAAAATTTATGAGTTGTTTTGAAAGATATTAATACTTTTGTTTCTTAATGATGAATTAATCATATGTGAAAATGTTTATGATAAATCTAATTCATCATGATAACTCATAATCGGTTGTATTGTTTTTCATGTGATTTTGGAAACCAATTATGAACTATTTATTCAATTATTCATATTTTAATTTATTATATGTGAAAGCATATAGGTTTAAAATTTTGAAAAAAATTATCAATTATGTTAAGTGAATAATAATTATATTTAATATAATAAATTATATGAGAATCTAAGATAATTTTTACAAATGTTTCGAATATAATATGTTTTAAATAACTTTTTCAAATTTTTAAACAAATTTTAGTACTTTAGATTTAAGATATATCTTCTTAGCTTTTATAAATCAACTAACACACGCATGATTGACTTACCTAAAAAATAAATAAATTATACATCATCAAAACACTTAAAAAACTATATATATATATATATATATATATATATATATATATATATATATATATTCATGAATCATAATCTCCATGATCAAGTCAATACAATATCGACTTTTAATTGATTATAACTATATGTGATACAAAACTATTATAGCATTAATAGATGTAGAAAGTCTAATTGCAAGTTGAATATAAAAAAGTTTCACTTTTAGTACATCCGTACTATACTAGTCTTGCAACCAATATAAAAACCTTTCTAAAATTGATACACAGTATTTGTTGAGATAGCCAACTATAGCATTTAACCATTACCATTAGGTCACCATTCATTCGTGTATTTGAAAAAAAAAATTTACCTTAATATTGTATTTTTTATTTATCCTTAATTACTTATTTTGTATATATATATATATATATATATATATATATATATATATATATTAAAATACTTTATAAAAATCAAAAGGTTATTAGTTTTTTTATTATTGGTTTATATCTCAAGTAAGCTTGAAACATTTTCATTCTGAAACAATGCATAGATGTTTATTATGAGATTAAAAATAAAATTTCATTCTATTCATATTTTCTGATTAAGAAATTCTGATACGTTTATAAATCTTATATCAATTAAGAGTTAAGACTGATGAAAATTTATATATAATCTATTCCTTTTATTCATTAATATATTTTTTAAATATGAAATTGTGAATTAAACTTTCAGATAATATTCAATAATGATAAACCTAATAATATTATCATATCAAACATAAATTAGAAAATTGTAATTCTTACGTGAAACATTACAATAATTTCATTGAGAATCATTTTGATTTTTTCTTCTTTCGTATATATATACTTTGTGTTTTTTATTTAATCATATATTAATAATACACAATTTGTTTCTATCTCTTATATATTTTTTTTCTCTCACGATAATGTCTACTGTAATAATGATTAGTTTAAGTTTGAAGAAGGGTATCACATATTATCCGGAATTGTCACTAAAATAATAGTACTAACAAGGATAGAAAATTCTCTTAAGAGCTGTGATTTTTTTATACCCTTCTAATTTCATCATGTACTTTTTTGTTTGGTAGGGAATGAAGCACCTCTCTTGTGTGCCCGCCACTATCAATTATAGTAAATCCTAATAGTTGGGTTGAAAATTATATGCTAAACAAGAAACTATCGATGGAGGTCCCATGTCTGCCATTAAATCAAATCATATGTGTTTAGCTAGCTTTGCCATATTTAATTAGTCAAAATACCAAACAACTTTGTTGCGTAAGAAAGACAAAACTGAAGAATTTACAGATGAAATGTAAGTGGCTACATATTATCTTTAACTACTTGTGAAGCCAACCAATCAACCTTTATAGTAAGAATCCGAGGGGATAATGTTTAACTTTTGATTCACAAATTGATAAATATGAGGTGGAAACAATAGCATCAATTAGCATATAGTAACAGTTATCAATGAACTCCAGCTGCAAAATAATTAATCGTAATTATTGCCCAAAAGAAAAAGGGAAATTTTTAAAATAAAAAGAAATTGGTTGCTTTATTAGGTAAATTATTATTCTGCATTGCTGTCATACAATGGAAATAAAAGGTGAATTAAGCGTCTAAACACTTATTAGTCAATAAAAGGTGTCGTTTTTTTCGTTAATTTATTGTGAGAACAGTAACTGGCACTATCTATTGACTAAAACTTGGAAAAGACATAAGATGTCATTTTAAAGAGATAAGCAAATCGATTTGTGGGAAAGAGACAGAAAAAATTCGCATAAATATCAAAACAGTGGATTCCAGAAAAAATAACAGCACCTTAACCTGTTTCTGTTCATTAAACTAATAAATTATTTCGGATATATTATTATATTGAAAATCCATTCTATCCTCCTAAATCAAAGTTATATCATATAAAAATCACACTTGCACAAAAAAATAATAATAATAATAATAATAATAAAACATCACGACCTACATAAAGTTAATTTAAGGTTTAAAAAACTTTCAAAATTGAATTAATTTACAATATAAATAAAATTTGTTAACCAATATAAAATGTTAAACTTAAATTAAACTATTCAATTGAAATGAAAAAAAAAGTATATATTGAAAGTGGTCCAATCAATATCCTAGTGTTTTAAAAGATAGAGTGTTTAGTTAAAAAAATGGAAATCACTAGTTATTTTTTGCATTTCTCTCGAATTCAAACTTTTAGTTTTACTCTATTTCTTAATTATTATTATTATTTACTTTTCTTAATTCCTTTTCCTTTCTTTCTTACATATTCATTTTGCTTTTTCCAAACCAACCCTAATTCCTGGAAATAGATATACTTTTGTTAAATGAAAGAGCTCATCTTTTTCATGCAAAATCTATCACTTCTCAAAATCCATAAATTATAAGCTATTCACATAAATTTAAAATTGCTGTGATCATCATTCTTAGCACAAACCGTGATCTGATCATTATCTCCGTCATTATTTTTATTTTCTCATTTTCAAATGAACACGTGTTGATTGTGTTATAATGTTTTCATAAAAAACTCTATTAAAATAATTATTCATAGCCCTTTCCATAAAAAAATTAAGATTACATCATATTAAATGGTCATAAGATAACTAGTGTGTAGAAATTTATAAAATATAATCAAAATACAGAGCACCCGTTATTTATAAAAATTATTTTTATATAAAATTATCTGATCGTTTATAAGATAAGGTAAATAGTAATTTATATACGTCTTTATTCTTTAACTTACCAAAACGTTTTTAAAAAATAAAATTATAATAGATTAAAAATTTAAAACAGATAATACCTAATCAACCATAATGATATTATTATAATAAATATAATTACGATACATTCTCATTCTTTAGATATAATTGGTAGAATGGATAATACTTTTTATTTAATGATTAATGCATGTCATTGATCTCATATTCTACCTACAATTTCACAATTACTTGTTTTATATACTTTTTATATATTTTTCATGTAATTGATAACCGGTTCCGAACAATATTTCATTTACAACTTTTTTATTATATTTATTTACTTTCTAAAAAATAAGAATTAAAATATTATTTTTCACAACAATAACCAATTTTAATCATTAGACTATAAAATATAGATGGCAAAAATACTAAATTTTAAATTTTTATTTTTAAGTAAATGGATCTTACTTCTTTCCTTCTTTTTCTGTCTCAATCTCTCTCTTATATATATATATATAAAGGTATTGATAGTTTTTGCAAAGATAAAGCCTCCAAATATTAGTGCGATGGTATAAGGGCACTTGAAAGCTTGTTTACTTATGCATTATGCAAAATCGAAGCCATTAAACATTATATTCACTGTTAAATAAATAACATATATAATAGAGAATAAAAAGATAAATTGGAAAGAATCACCTTTCCATTAGTGATGACCATCATAATAATGGAAGCGACTATGTTGACAATGGCACACGCTGCCAAAAGCTAGAATCTGAGCAAACAATTGTTCGATTTTTCATCAATAACCGATCTGATTGATGCACAAAACATTTACAAGGCATGATTGAATTGATGATTTATAAAATGCTCGATTCGATTCTATCTTGATTAGTAGTTCATCTCCTTGCATGTTTGCCACTTGTCTTCTAGAATATAGATTATTAAGTTTGCAACCATGGATGGCGTTGACCCATCATCTTCATCACCACCATGTGCAACCAATATTAAAAGTTGGAAATAAAAAAATATGACATGTATTTTTCTTTTAAGACGTTCAAAGTATCCCTTTTTTTTATCCAATATATTTTTTAGAATCTTGAAATTATTAATACAAATATTAAAAAAATGGTAAAAGGGTTTTCGGTCAAGCTATTTGAAACTCATGTTTACAATATTTTGAGGTTAAGAAGCTTCGCAAATTTGTTATTTAATATATATATATATATATATATATATATATATATATATATATATATATATATACAAGGTGAAAGTTTTATAGGATTTTGTTGGTTAAGATTTATTCATGTATCTTAAAATTCAATAATTCGACCAACTTTTTTTAATATTATAATTAAGGTCAATTTAAAAATATTTCGAATGAGGTTGAATTTAAGATGCTGAGATAAATAACCAAGTTTAAAATATTTGAAAATACAATTAATCCTTTTTTTCTCCATATTATATATTAGTAGAAATATGTTACAGATACTTGCTTCTAAAAATTGATTGATAATAAAAAAAAAATGAGTTTTGATGTGAAATTAGATATTGAAATAAGTTTTATATAAAACCTTATAATTTTTTATCTTGATTTTATATATAAGAAAGTTGAATGTGAGAGTATAATTTATATATTTCTAACGAGTATGAAGAATTAAAAATAGTACATGTAACGATATGTTTTTAATCATCGGTTAAAACTAGATATTATGACATCTGAGTATGCAAAAATATTCAGGCTCCTAAACACACTGAAAGTTTAATTTCTTGGAATGACGATATATTATTATATCTGATTTTTTTGAATTTCTAGAATGTTTTTCATAATAATGATATAATTTATTTTTACTGGAATTTAGTTTTGTTATTTCCGACAGAGAGTAGGGAAAGCGAAAAATTATGAATTGGAATCATGAAAACCGTACGTTGAACAACTGTGTGGTGTTGGAAACCTTGAGACTGAAACAGTACACACATCACATGAATCAATCTCAATCTATGTCCAATGCAACCTAAACTTTTCCTTCAAACCCCATAGGGCCATACTCGTGTTTTTTCTCTTCACCAAATCGTATTCTTAAAATAGATCAATAAATATTGTTATATTAATCTCTTAAATTAATAACCTATTAAATAAAATTTTAAAATATTATATTTAAAATTTAATTGTTTACTATCATTGCAAAATATTTATAAACATATTGACATTATCTTTTTAATAGTATATTTTAATTTAGACTATAAGATGATTATTCATTTACATTTTCAATTATTTTTACTATATTACAAATTTAATTATATATATTATTATCTATCCATATACAATACATTAAAATATATTTTAATATTTTATAAATAAATTATTATCAACAAAGTTTAATAATTATTTATTTTTTATGTATTTCAAACATATTTAATCATATCGTATAAAAGATAATTATTATATAGCAATACTTCTAAAAATTTATATAACAACAATTATAGTATAAACAAAGTGTAGTTATTTTCACTTATTTGTTTACTTGACTTAAAAGGTTACAAACGGTGTACAAGTAGAACACTTTGCTGGTCGACAATGCCTCTAAAAACCTAATTTCGGTAATAAATAGAAAGAGAGACTTAACTGTTGTCGTTTCACGGTGAGTTTGAGTTGAGTGTTTTTCTGACAGTGGCTGCATTTTTTAGTCACCGTCACGTTGTCACAGTCGCGGGTCCCATCTCAGAGGCTATATGCATAGAAATTTTCTGAGCATGGGACCCACCAACGGTGTCGTTTCGAGGAGAGCGCGCGGGAACAGCGCGGGAGCTGTTTCCCAATGCACTGCACACTTCATTACATCATAACTGCGTGCGCTGCTCCACTGCCCCCACCCCCATCATATCCTCCATACACCCACCACCCTGTTCTCATAAATTATATTTTAATCAACAAAAATCAAACTCCTATTTTGCTAATTCATGGATTCTCATTCTGCTGTCTATGTAGAGTTAATTATTTTTAATAGACAATTTGTTGTAAGAAAAAATCATTTTACAAATTCCAATAAATAATTTTTTTAACAATTACTTTTAACTAAATCTTACTATCAATGTAAGGATCTTATTACTGGTGATATGATTATTATTATTTTTTTTTACATAATCTGAGTCTCTAAACATATCTTAATTATTTCAGTACCTTAAAAAATCTAGCATTATTTAAAAGTCAAACTGAATAATAATTTTACAAAATTATTATCTTGCCTTAGTTTATATAAAAACTTCTTTATTAGATAAAATAACCAAACATAAAAAGACAATACTTGGATTATAATCAATTCACCTTTTTTTTTCTTTTATCCTTTTTTGTTTACTTATGACACGTTGATTCATTTTCAGGTATATCGTACACAGTGTCTCTTTGCACAAATTTGTTTACATTGGAATTTATTTCGATTGAATTGGACGTTTGGCCTAAGCACTTGTTTGGATTTTAGTCTGTTTTGGATGGAAGGAGCTGTGATTGGTTAAAATTCAAAGATGAAAGTTTAATTGCATTATTATTGTTAGTAATATTATTGGTTGTAATATATATTATTATTATTATCGTTGTTATTGACATTGATATTGATGTGGTTTGATTGGTAACATATTTGGGATGGTGGCATACCTTACAACTTAATTAGGAGAACCAAAGGGCCCAATTGCCATCCTTTCAAACTTTAAATCCAATCTGACAGAGACCCATTTGTGTGTGTTGTGAAAGCAAATTCAAGGAAGGGGCACTATGAACCCATGTGAGGAGTGGGCTCCATTGGAGGGTAAGAACCTTCAGGGATGGCAATGGGCCTACCCTAAAGGGCCTAATCATCATCATCATTCCCATTTTCCTATTTTATATACAAATAAATACTCAATTCTTATTAATTCTGTAACAAAATATATACATAAGTTTGCTTAATTTCTTTTTTTATCATGGTAAAATTTTGTAACACTTCAAAAGAGTGTGACAAGTGATTTCTGGTTTATACCAAAAACATGTAAAAAAAAAAAAACAAAAAACACTCCATCATTTTACACCTCAAAGTGGGTGATACCAAAACGTGATGTATTAGGGCATTAAGGTAGGAAAAAGAAAGAGATACATAGAGAAAGTGATAGATATCAGTTTGTTTGTAGTTATTTTTTATGTGTTTGTCTAATTATTTATTTTAAAATAATTAAAAAAAATATATTTTTTAAATATGTGAATTTTTCAAAATTATTTTTATTTAAAAAACTTATTTTACATAATGAAAAAAAAATTGGGTATTTGTTTTATAACAAACCCTGTGTGTTTGATAAAACTATTTGAAAACATTGTTGAAAGTTTACAAATTATAAGTTGAGATTGAAAAACTAAAAGCTTAAGGAAGCTAATTGAATTAAATGATATATTTAAGTATTTAATGTAAATAAGATGTCAAATAAATCGGTAAAAAAAAGAAGAAGAAGGGTTAACTTAAGTCAGTTTGTTATTATAAACTACTATATTAAATTTGTGTACCAAATAAAAATTATTTCAATTAAACTAACTTATAAACATAGTCAAAATATAAATCTTAGTTCAATTAAAAACTTATGTTGATATTGGATGTGTGTCCAAATAGAGAGAAAAACTGGAAATAAAATAAGAGGTTATTGATGAATATGGAGAAAATAAAAGTGTTTGAGTAGTAAAGAGAAGTGAATTTATTTATATACCATATATAACATGCATTGTAGTGATGAGAGTGATTAGTGTGATAAGTAGATGTAAATGGATAGTAGTGGGAGGTTGTCGTGTTGACGTGAGTGGTGTCTGTACTCTCTGCTCACTGTCTCTCTCAAGCTGGATCTTACATATCACACAATCGGATTCGATCACTTCTTTTAATTAATAATACATCTTCTTTCTTTCCTCCTCTTTCTTTTCTTAATATTTAGTATTTTAAAAAAATTAAATAAAACACACTCACTCATTTTTTGAAAATAACTGTTACCCATAATTTAAAATCTTACAAATCGAATTTTAAGATGAAGTTTACATTTATTTCTCTATATATTTAATTAATATAAAATGTTTAATACTTATAAATATTTTTTATATTTTTTAAGAAAATAAAAATAAAAAATTATTCAAAGTAGATAGAGTTTTTAGAAAACGGTAAATTATTTCTTCATAAGCCCACATGAGGTTGTAGTTTACTAACTCTTTCTAACACAGTTATTTTTTAATAAAGAATTTGTTAACTCACTTTTGAAAAAAAAAAAACTACTTTAGCAAATAGAATCTTAAATATGTTTTTTTTTTCTAATTCAGACTAAAAAAATTTCTTTCCAAAATTGACATTATTATATAAGTAATTTTTTTATAGAATTTACAAATATATATATATATATATATATATATATATATATTACTTTTATTTAGAAATAATATTTAGATCATTATAAAATTTTATAAAATCTTATTTCTTAAATATATTATAGATAAATATAATAATCTTATAAATTACTGTTATCATAATATAATAACATAATATATCTGATGAGATAATATAATAATATAATATATCTGATGAGATATAAACTTGTAATGAATATGAAATAAGTAGTTAAGTACTAGATTATAACTATATATATATATATATTAATTAAAATACTTTTATTATTTAGTATAATATTTATCATGCAAAATTACATTTTTCCACGTAATCAATATAACAAGTTACAAATAAGAAAATAAAGATTAATTAACTTATTCAAATAATAATTACCGTACCTAAAATATCAAACATATTATCACATCACATTACATATAACAATTCTAGACATTTTTCTAGAAGATTAATATTATGTTTCAAACTCAAATACTAATATTTGTGAGTCACGTTGAAATATTTATTTTAATATATTTTCTTTAACTATTAATATCATTATGGCTTTGTTATATATAGAGTAAAATTATCAAGAATCTAATCCGTCTTAATGTACATCTTTGTAATCTCATGGTAAGTCATTAACAATTCTCTCATTAACTTCTCATTTACTAATATATTAGTCTACATGACCTGGGTCATCAATAAAATCTAAAATCTTATTAAATACACAAGCATAGTTTTCACACTAATTATAACATCAAAATACATTCTTTGGTGTCCACTATCTTATACACCTTATTTTATTATGATTCATATTCCTAGCTCGACCTAACCTCATAGAGATATACCTTAATTAATTATAAGTTACACTCCTAGCTTGACTTAGCCAGGGACAGAGGCAAGGGGGCCTCTAAGGCAATGCCCCCTTCCCCTCCCCAAAAATTTTAATTTTTTTTTAAATAAACTATAATTTTGTATTTTTATTATTTTTTAAATAAATATTTTAATGTTGTTCCTCCTTAATCTTATGGTGCAAGTTTCACCTCTCTACTTAGCCTCTTACAATTATATCATAATCAACCATGATTCAAAATATTGGTTCGATTCAGCCTCAGATATAAAATAATCATATCATCATACATTCCACTATATATAGAGATATTTTGTTTGAAATCTCACTTATCACTTGAGAGAGATATTTTTAATACCTAACTCATTGATTTTTCATCTTCCTCACTAAAATAATCTCATGTTGGTTGAACGAAACAACCTCTTCGTTTGAGCATCACTATTCGTACTTGAGTGAAGTTCATCTATAAACAATTCATCCATTTTATCTATTCTTTGCTTGAGTGACATTATAGTCTCTTAAGTGACTAACACACAAAATCAATAATTGTTTCTTTATTTATATTTTGCTTGAGCTACTACTTGTGGCTTGAGGCAAATATATGTGGCATCAATTTTCAATTCAATTCAATTCAATTTTTATTTAAAAGATAATGTTTTTGTTTTGACTTTTTCTCTCTTACAAATTTATTTTTGATTTTTATTTGGTCATCCCTTGTTAAGGTGTAAGAGGACACAAATTTTTTTTTCTATCATTGTAAATGAAACTTATCTTATTAGTGTGACCATCATGGATAGTTTGTCTATCATGTTGTCATGGCCTACCAAGTAGAATATGTCCAGCATCCATAGAAACTACATCGCACAAAATATTTTTTGTAAGTTTCTATAAATATTTGTATATCTACTTGTTTATTAACTATTATACTATCATCTTTATTGAGCCATTGAAGTTTGTAAGGTTTTGGATGGGGTGTAGTAGTTAAGGTTAGTTTTCCACCAACCTAGAACTACAACAGTTACAACAAGAACCACTATCCATAATTAAAGAACAAGTATTTTTCAAAACTTCACATCTTATGTGGAATAGGTTTTTCCGTTGGGATTGTTCCAACTCATAAGGTTGGCTTCCGAGAAGCCTTCTCATTACAAGTAATTCTCCTTCACAAGGAAGAATTTCTTCCTCAGAGTTTAAAACTTCCTCCTCACTTGGTGAAGAGTGAGTTTTATCCTCACTTACGATCTCTTGGTCTTTTAAAAACATAACTTTTTTATTGGGACAATTAGAAGCATAATACCCTCTTCCAAGACATCGAAAACATTAAATGTCTCTAGTTCTAACCCCTTTGGAAGGTTCTTTATTTTTATATTTTTCTTTTTCTCTTTCTCTTTCTTTTTCTTTTTTCTCTATCTTTTTCTTTATCCCTTCGTGACCCTTCATCCCTAGATGTGGAGGGGTAACCCTCCCTCTTAAAATCTTCCTTAGGAATAAACGTGTTAAGGTAGTCTCTCCTATGAGAATTTTTTTTAATTGTTGTTCTACCTTTACACAAAGTTGAACTAGTTCGTTTAAGTCATTATAAGACAATAGTTCAACTTTATCCCTAATCTCTAGGTTAAGGACACTTTGGAACCTAACAACTGTAATTTGTGGTTCTTCCCTTATCCCAGCTCTCATCATTAATAACTCCATTTTTTACCCATATTCCTCTATGGTCATATTTTTCTATTTGAGTCGTTGAAGCTTATCCATCAACTCCCTATCATAATAAGAGGGCATGTGTCTTTTCCTAAGGGCACTCCGGAGTTCATTCCAATACCTAATTTGGGGTTCGTTGTGAATTCTCCTTTCTTGTACTAGGGAAGTCCACCAATACATTGTATGTCCTTGAAAACTAAGGGTTTCTATGGGCACCCTTCTTTCCTCGTTGACTTTATAACACTCAAATAATTGTTCTACCTTTATCTCCCAATCTAGGTATTCTTCTACATTATCTTTTCCATAAAAGGGAGGAAGGTCTATCTTAGATTCTCTAGGATGATCCACCCTAGTGCTATGTCTCCTAGGGGGAAGTGTTGATAGTAATCATCGTTGTAATGACTACTATAAACCTCCAATGCATGGTGAGTGGGGTTCTTCATAGTGTTCTAATATTCTCCTAGAACCCTTACTTGTATTTTTAGTTTTATGTTTATTATCCAAGAGTTGGCCAAACATAGCCCTTATTTTCTCATATTTTTTTCAATTTTTTCTTCTAAAGTGTTAAGCTTGTCCTTAATGGAAGAGTGTTTCCTAGATCTACGGTAGCTCTCACCCACACTAGAATGACTTAAAGGTGCATGAAAATGGTCACTCATTTTTGTTTAAGAAAGATTTTCACAATAATTTGAAAAATTGTTTTTCACAAAAATGAAGTGACAAAGGTTTTCACAAAAGAAGTTTTTCAAGTGTGTGTTTGACAGACTCCTAAGACCAAAGGAAGGTCAACTAGTCGTTTAAAGACTCACCTAGATTTTATCACGGAAAAATTAAATTCTACTTGTAAAAATTTACACAAAGTAAACTAGATGGAAACCTAGAGTGAAAGTCCAAGTGACAGTTAATGAGCCTCTTGGGACACTTCCACAAGACTAATTCGTGAAACTATTACAATGTTTAAACTAGGAGATGGGATTATACCAAGGACATTTTCTCACACCCACAAAAGCAAAATTTACAACAAGAATTATATAAAACAACAAAATTCTTGACAAAATTACAATAAA